TAAAAGTGCATATGAAAATTGTAAAATTGTATAATTTGTATGTTAAATTTGTATGAAAATCTGTAATTTCATGGATTTCATTATATGGATTTAAGACACTTTGGAAATAAGCTCTTCAATTGTAGTCAGGATTCTAAAACGGACAGTTGGCTGTCCCGAGATGCATCTTTAGACAGCCAATTGTAGATTTAGGATCGAGATTACAAATAATACTGAAAAACTAAAATTGCGAATTTTGTCATGAATTTTGGAATGTGCGGTTACAATAAGTGGAATAACTTTTCCAAATAAGTTTTTCCGATTTCTCTAACGCGAAGCAAAATATCGAAAATTTACCCTGTTTGTGGATTCGCAGTAAGCCGCGTTTAAAATTTAAATTTCAGATAACTAACTATCTTAAAAATATGTGCACTATCAACATGTATGACTGCAAAATTTCTAATCTGTATGTATTTTGATAGCTGATATATAGAGGTGTCTTCATCTTAAATGCGACACACTGTATAATAATGAATACTAGTGTTCAAGATGCATCGCGATAGCTGTAAAGAAATTAATTAGAAGGACTAAAAAGAATCGTCAGAGTCTTCTGAAGTCGAATCGTTCCCAGGTTGTATAACTATTGGTGCTATTGCCGGTAAAACAGGATATTCATTTTCTATTTTTACAACATGAGCTTCGCAACTTTTCCACACATCGCTATTAATGCCACTAATTACTTCTCGAATATTCTCAATGGCCACTGCGCTTAATGTTGGTGACTGATTATATTTTCGCAATCGTTTTTTTACGGTACCCCAAACCATTTCAATTGGATTAAAAATGCAATAGTATGGAGGTAATCGCAAAAGAGTATGGCCGTGCCTGCTGCAAATGGTGTCAATAACGTATTCGTTTTTGAAATTCCGACTTTTGATCATTCTAATTAATTCTTTTTTTACTGGAATCTTTTTAGGAACAGTGATATTTTTAAGTTCCATAAATTTTAAAATTTCGTCCTTTTTCGTGTTATTATTAGGTATTTTATTTAATATGCGGGAATGATACGACGCATTATCCATAACAATCACTGAATTCGGCGGAATATTGGGCAAGAGTTGTTCAACAAACCACTTTTCAAATAAATCGGCTGTCATATCTTCGTGATAATCGGCAGAAGACTTTGTTATATTTTTGGCCGACAATAGCAATGCATTAGATACAAAACCATCTTTGCTTCCGGCATGAAGAATAATAACACGTTTTCCTCGTGAACAGGGTGTATTTAATGCACACTTGTTTGTGTTGTCAACCCAGCCGTACTTGACAACATCATGCGTATCGAACCAGGTTTCATCTAAATAGATTATGTTTCTGTTTGAATTACGATACTGTTTTATTTTACTCAAATACTCTCGTCGAAGTTCAACAATACGCCGAGATTCCATTATTACCATTCGATTATCTAATTTCTTATATTTAAATCCACAACTTATCAAAATCTCGCGCAGTGTTTCCAAAGATGTATAATTATATTCAGGGAAATCTCTCAATTTTTCACGAATCAGTTCTAAAGTAGGCACTCTATTTTCTTTGTAAAAATTGTAAACTGTTCGCTGAATAACGTCTTTTGCAGCAGTGTCAATCCTACCCAATTTTTTATTTGGTCGCTTTCGTTTTAAGGAATGATCTGTAACAATGCCTAATTTAATAATTGTATATATCGTCTTATACCCGATTTTTGTTAATACATGAATTCTCGAAACAATTGCATTATCAGCCATCAAAATATTTTCTTTTTTCAAACACTCATACATATTTAAAACTATTCTTTGGGATTGTACGTGCAAATCTTTATTTTTTAATTCGGGGCTGTCATTAACATAATTGTCATTATCTATTGATAACACAGAAGTTGATGCATCTTGATCATTCGTATCAAATGGTCTCCAAAATGCCATCCTAGAAAAATATAATATTACTTACCTTATTATCCGCCTCTGATAGCTGCTTGCAAAATGAACTATTTAGGGTGTCATATAGCCAGACAAACAGGTGTTCCATCAAGATTTATTGCGATGCGCTTCGCTGTTGCCAAGTTTAAAATTATTGAATGTAACTTTAATACCATAATTAATATATCTGCAATTTTTCATGTTTCCAGGTAAGGTATAAAATCAATAAAATTTGGAAAAAAATAATACAATTCTTGAAACCGTTTTTCAGAACTTGGATTCTTAAAAGTTGTCTGATTTCTTAAAAGTCGATCATTATATCTATAAGAGTATTACCGCTAAATTCACCAACATGGCAACGTCGATATAGACCGAACATCGAAATCACCTCGAAATTCTGTCCAGACTACAATGTTGCCGATATTCGAAAATTACTTAGAGTATAAGTTATATATACAAAGTTCACAGTTGCTTTAATTCATTAGTGAAGAGTCCATGGAAATATTAGTACCTAGTTAATTAATTTATATAGATATATTTTTTGAGAATATGTTCATATTATTTTTTAAGAGTGTCGTTCGTTGACTAGCAATTGAATAATAACGAATAGAGAATAGAGAATATTTTTTAAATATAACCTTAGGAATTTTAGGAAATATGTCTGACAACCTTGATTTGAAAGGCGGTCTCTTTGAAATCAGAGTGAGGCATATTTATGTTGGAAAATTATTAGTGGATGTACTATACAAAATCTGTAAAAATTGCCGGATTTTAAAGGTGCTAAAAAATGATATAAATAAAACAACATATTAGTTCATGTATCATATTATTTATTGTCTTCATTTATTGAGAATGCATTTTTAACATATATACCGAATTAAAACACTGCATTTTCAGGCAATATTTTGTTTCAAATCGTAGATACAGATGTAAATTTAGATTTTATTACATATACATATGTACTTTTTGAGGACAATGAGTTATCTAGAGAGAAACAATAAGCAATTATAAAATATCTTTTTTTTTAATAGCCTATACCTAGTATGTATTGTTAATCACCGTTGCTGATACGTTTAAGTTTCCTTTCTGAAATCACATTGTATACATTTATTTTTCTTAAACTCAGTATATTCGTAAGTACAAACATAATGTCAATTGCAAACGGAACTAAAACGTATTTTTTAAAATATCCTGCAAAACAACCATACACAACCAACAAGAATTACTAAAATTTTACAGCGTTCTAAAGATTATTATTTCATTAAGTACGGCAACACTGCAACGTACGTTTGTGGAGAGATTTGTTTAGAAAAATTAGTTGGAAGCCGACAACAAAAGTAATAACTACATTTTTGTGCCAAATAATGAAGAAACTTCTGCGATTTTGTCAATATTTATCATTTTCCTTTTTCAATATAAATCTGAAACATGTATCTAACCTACATTCTATGTTCTAATGCCCTCGTATATTTTTTTGGATTTTTAGTAAATATTTCGGTCAATTTTTTAAAATCCTTTAATGTTTTTATTATTTTAACTCAGCTTTTCACAGCTGAAATTAACTTTTTTGTTTCTGATGGTAAGACGACATTGTGTACAAATAAAAGGTTCTGGTGATTCTTGGCATAGAGAAGTTAATTTCTATGTCAGTTGTCAACTTTGACATATAACACAGTGTTCGTTTGTCTATAAGCTTCTTTTATGAAAAAACCTTTCGTTTTATGTCCATTTGCCGTCCGTTTTTTGGTCCTTAATTATTTTGTTAAATCTATAGATAATTGGTGTTTTTTTTTGACTCTTGACGACACTACTTATATAAGTTTCGTACATTAACGGAATTTCGTAATGTTTGTTGCCATACAGAAGTTGTTATGCTATATGTCAATGTTGAAAAATGTGCTTGCTAGATAAAGAAGTGTTGTGACGAAAATTTTCATATTTGAATAATTTCTTTGTTCGATTACACAAAAGAGCTGGACTGGAAGACATAAAAAGTGAAGCATTTCTTTCAAAAAATATGCATAACGAATACTAACATACTATTTTAAATTTAGTGTTTTGCAGTAAAAACTAAATGTAGAGAAGATATTAGGAAATATATGAGTCACAGAATCAATAAAAAAATATTTATTGTGAACCTAATGAAAAATCTTATGAGGAAATACAAAATCAAAAATGGAAGACCAAGTGGAAGCTGCGTGAAAAGGTAAAAAGGTGTTAACAAAAAAAAAAAAATGACTGATACCAAAATCTAAAAATTTACACACAAAAAGGATCACGTAGAATTTAGCTCAACATGACTTCGGTATTGAGATTGATATGAATTAAAAACCAGGGCAAAAACGTTGTTATCAGACAAAAAATCAACAAAAAGTACTTGGACTTTGATATAGCTGATTAAAATGGTTACATATTAAAAAATTTGCTTAAAAATAAAAAGAATATGCTGATTCGGCGACAAAAATTAATGATGCTAAGTACAATACTCTAAAACGTGTGGAATAAATTAAAACTGGGATTATCACTGGTACTGTTAATTTCCTTCGCAATCTTCTTATGAGACAAGCATTAAAAAGTAATTTCGTTGGTTGTGAAATGTAGTTAATTCTCGCGGGATATTTTACCGGAATAGCACCATAAAAATGAAAGTGGAGAAAGAACATTTTCGTAAATGATATTTGGACCATAATCTTGTATCAACTTTCATCTAAAGTATTCTTTTTTCCTAGACTATTATGTAAAATGGCACGATATCTTTATCAACTATTATACAATATGAAAACATAAAAAACAGTACAAAAAAAGTAAAGAAGAGAAAATGGCAGTTGTGAAAGAAATATACAGGGTTTGCCGTATTTCGAGCAACTTAGAGCTTAATAACATTAACACAAAAAGCAAAAAATAGTGAAATACAGCAACAATGTTGATCTATTAGTAACGGCTTATAGTTCAACATCATGTGCAAAATTGAATGAACACAAAATAGTGAACACTTAATGGGTGAAAAATTTACAAAATTAATTAAGTATTGACTGAACGACTGCGTTTATCTATCCTATATTTTCTTCAGTTTACCAGATCATTTGACCATATGTCTCGGCCTATAAAGCTGTAACAAAAAGAAAAATACGTTACTCAATATCAGTATTAGTACTGTGAATTGGTAGATGAATAGTTCTCGATCTCGAACATAGATCAAAATATTTGTTTTTCACTATTAGACCGAGAACTTTTCACCTTCTATTATGTATTATTAATAAAGTCCGGATTATAAGCAATTTAATTGTTAATCTTGATTACCCATTTGCCTAAGCCATTGAAAAAAACTATTTTTAGTACTTTTAGGAGCCTTAAACCCTACGTGATAAAAGTATAAAGAGCATTAAAAATTATATGTATATTGATGCAAAGTGTATTGCACAGAAGCCATACAACAACAAAATTGTCCAGCATAATGTTACCTCTACAACCAATTTTGAAAAAATTGGGAACGTGGCTAGAGGCTGCTTTTATTTATTTTTTTATTCAACAAATTTTTTTGTTATTAAGTATTTTATTATATTATTATTATATATTATATATTATTTATTATATATTAACACAGGCCTACAGTGTTTTGGTGCCAAGGTGTTTAGAGGGGATTTTAAGTATATTTGGGGTGCTGATTCCGAATATGGCTTTAGTTTTGCCCTAGCAGGTCAAGTTTTCAAGATAACGTAGGTCATGCCAGCTCTTATGCATTGAAATACGAATATGCTGATATAAATATACTAAATTGAAATACAAATCACACAATTAAAAAATACGTATATTTTAAGCCATTTGACTACAATAATAGTATATACTTTATGGGGTGGAGAAGCATGACTTTTCTTGACGCGCCCGATATTACGCGCCGAACGAAGTGAGGCGCGTAATAGAGGTCAAGCCAAGAAAAGTCGCTTCTTTGCCTAATAAAGTATACTATTTTTTCTTCAAACGTAGCAATTTTCAACAATAAATAGTAAAATTCATACGCTATTTTTACTCGAAATTAACTGTGACAACTATCAAAATCGTCTAGATGTTAGTCTCTGATGAATTAAGTCGTCGGTGGGATTTGAGTCTCCCTGGTTACAGTTGTTTGACAGTTGTTTGCAATTATTAAAGACAGCTTATTGTTGTTCGCAAGCCGCCAACATCGGGAATGATTGCTGAAAGTTGTTCTCGACCATCAGTATCATCAACAATTACCAATGCGTATCAAGAGTCGGGAACATTTTTGGACGGTTTCAATTTTAAAAATGGGTCATTAACTAATTGTACTTTTAATATTACTATAAATAAAAATGATGTTTAATTGTTGTTAATGACATTTGTATTGTTGCTTTGTGACATGTTTCATATTGTTGCCATGACAACTGTTCAATTTTTCACATGCGAAAAATTATGTCATTATTTCGCTGTATTTTTAACTATCCCTATATCACAATTTTACAATCAATACCTTAGTCCAACCCTGGATAACCCTTCGTATTCCAGTTCAACCCCCCCTCTTAAGAAATACAGACAGTGTTAAGATAGCAAAGAAGAAAGACGCGCTCTCTTAGTTTGGCCATCGCTAGGGCCAGACGTGCACTCTCTTGATCTGACTACTGACTTTGACAGGATCAAGTTAGATAAGTAATGTCATCATTATTTGACGTTTGAAGAAAAATTCCTTTGTACAATGAAACAGATGTATAATTAGTTTTGAGAAAAAAACTAACAAAATAGAAAAAAAGCTTTACTTGACGTAACGAAAACTTCGCTTGCGTGATTTCCTTGAATGAACTTTTAAACAGTCTTCAAACTTTAGCAAAAATCGGCCACCATATGGGTGCCCCATCTTCCATGTAGCGGTTCTTATCGCTTGGTGAAATCTTTCACCTTGCTGCTCACTTGTGCCACCTAAGTTTTCAAGGAAACTTCTCATAATGTCCACAAATGAAAGTCAAACTTTTTTGTCTATCTCATTCATTGATCCCACAAAAGCTGGATTCTTTTAAGAAATCTGATCTGTGGTCCATCAAAGATTCTAGCTTTAAGTTTTTCGTACTTATCTGGGACAGCTTCCTTCCTATGTAGGCGATGCATGGTCTATTAGAATCGAGTGCCTTAACGAGTTGCTTCATTAGGACTGGGCAAAAATGTTGATTTTCCCAATTACTAAGTTTTTTTTCTCTTCTTCTTCTTTTTGTGCCACTCCTATCGGAGATTGGAAATCATCAAGGCTATTTTGACCTTGTTTACGGCTGACCTAAAGAGTTCATTAGTGGTGCAGCCAAACCACTTTCTCAAATTCCGCAACCATGACATTCTTCTACGGCCTGGTTTCCGTTTTTCTTCTATTTTTCCCTGCATTATATTTTGAAGTAATGCGTATTTATGTCCTCTCATCAGGTGACCCAAATATTCGAGTTTTCTTCGCTTAAGCGTTAACAAAATCTCTTTTCCTATTCTTCGTATTACTTCACAGTTTGTTATTCTTTCAACCCAACTAATCTTTAGCATTCGACGGTAGCACCACATCTCGAAACTTTCAATATTTTTCATGTTGTTCTGTTTGAGAGTCCAGGCCTCTACACCGTATAATAGCGTGTTAAATACATAGCCTCTCAGAATTCTTAATCGTAGAGGGATGCTTATATTTCTGTTGCAGAAGAATTTTCTCATCTTTATGAAGGTGGCCCTGGCAATTTCGATACGTCTTTTTATTTCACTGTTTTGGTCTCCAGTTTCGTTTATTAAAGTTCCCAAGTATTTGTAACTTGATACTTTTTCAACTTGAGTGCCGTTTATACTAATATACGCTGGTTGTGTCATGTTTTTACTGAAGACCATATACTTGGTTTTTTTAATATTGATATTTATACCATAATTGTTGCAAGCAATATTTATGTCTGTAAGTAATCTTTGTAATTCTTCTACTGTTCTTGCAACTAGTACAGTGTCGTCCGCGTATCGAATATTATTTACAATCTTTCCATTAATTACGATTCCTCCGTTTGCTTGTAAATAGGCTTCCTGACAGATGCTTTCACTATATACATTAAATAACAGAGGTGACAAAATGCAACCCTGTCGTCCTCCTCTACGTATTTCTATTGCTTGTGATGTTTCAGTTTCTATTTTGATGTTAGCTTTCTGATTCCAATATAGATTGAGAATTATTCGCAGATCTTTATTATCTATGTCCTTCCTTTCAAGAATCTCTCTAAGCTTATCACGGCGTACTCTGTCAAACGCTTTTTCAAAATCGATAAAACACGTGTGTACCTCCTGATTAACGTCTAGGCATCTTTGTGTAAGAACATTCAAACCGAAGAGAGCTTCTCGAGCACCAAGCCCTTTTCTGAACCCCATCTGTGTCTTACTAATATCTGACTCAAACTTTTGATAAACTCGGTTGTGGATGATTTTTAGAAATATCTTTAGTAGGTGGCTCATTAAAGATATTGTTCGATGTTCGATGTTTTTTCTCTTAGGCCACTCTATTTTTGGTGTGTTTTTTCAGTCCCTATTATTCCAGAGGCACAAGAAACAACGATATTTTGTGTAGCCACTTTGCTGCATAAGAAGAAAGTTTACCATTTTCAAGTCTACACAAAAAACACCCAGCGTTGTTCATGGAATTTTATCTTCTGTAAAACTAAAGCTATTGTAGTATATTATTCTTTCGTCGCGGTTGAATTAGCAATTGGTATTGAGCCAAACTTGTTTCCATTGGGAAGCAAAACACATTTTTAACTGCGCTTGGAGCTATCGTATATCGTATAGTATCGATATAGCACCACGTTTCGAAGGCTTTCAATCGTTTGGATGTTGCCTCCGTCAAGGTCCGGGCTTCGACTCCATATAAATGGCAGAAAATATATAGCATCTTAAAACTCGTGTTCTTATATCAATGTTTAGGTGCATATTACATAGAATCTTTTTGAGACAATTGAAGACAGCTCTCGCCTTTTCTATACGACACCTTATTTTCTGTGACTGGTCCCATTCCTTATTTAGGCTGCATCCAAGATATGTAATTTTGTCGACAAGTTTCAGGGGTTCATTATTAGCTGTGAATCGGTGCTGTATTACATCGTTTTTACTTACTACAAAAATTTTAGTCTTCTTACAATTTAATTTCATGCCGTATCTGTCACAGGAATCCACTAAACGGTCCATTAATGTTTGCAGATCCTCCGCATTACCAGCAATCAAAACCGTATCGTCTGCATATCTTAAATTGTTTATGATTTCACCATTGATTTTTATACCTTCTCTTAAATCATCATAAAACAGCATTTCTGAGTAAGTATTGAACAACGTCGGTGACAAAATGCAGCCCCGACGTACTCCCCGTTTTATCGTGAATTTTTGTGAGGTTTCGTTGTCTACTCGTACAGTTGTCCTTTGCTGTAGGTATAAATTTTTAATTAGGCGTAAATCTTTGTCATCAATACTAGATCTGAAATAATTTTTGATGTTGCACCTTATCAAATGCTTTTTTAAAGCATGCGCAGACTTCGCAATTTACGTCTCGAGCTCTTTGTATCAATACTTGTATGTAAAATAGGGCCTTTCGCGTTTCCAGTGCTCTTCTAAACCCAAACTGAACACTGCTAATATTTTCTTCAAGTTTTCAAGAGTGAATAACAGAAAGAAGGATTTTGAGTGCATGGCTTATTAAGCTTATAATTCTGTAATCAGAGCATCTGGGGGTATTTGCCTTCTTGAAGAGAGAGAGGGATGAAGGTGGAAACTAGCCAATCTGTAGGAAATTATGAAGTTTCATAGATTTTGTTCAGTAGACTCGTTAGGAGTTTGAGTTGGTTGTTTTCAAATAGTTTCAATATTTCAGCTTGTATGTTATTAGGTCCAGGTGCTTTGTTGGTTTTTAGTGTTGTTATTGCATATGTTACTTCACTGAGCGTTATTTCTGGTCCTGAACATCCAGAAACACTAATTTTTGTCTCTTGCTCTTCCTTGAATAATTCTTCCATGTATTGCCTCCATCTCTCAAGTATTCTCTCATTTTTGTAGAGCTGGAATTCCTGTAACATGTTAATCAGTTTAATAATGTGGAATCTGTCGATCACC